TTTTTTTTTTCAGGTCCTCTCTTAACACAGTATGAAGCAAATTCTGAGAGTGTTACTATCTAGAAGAGTTAAAGTTTTGATCATTACAATCAATTACCCTTCATAGACAGAACTAATTAAATCTCCAACTCTGCTATGTATGTCTTAACATCTGCAGTAAAAGCTGATGAGAGAAAAGTCTCCATTCAATAGAGAAATGGAGCTGATTGATCCAAATAGACCTTTTTTCCACAAGATTGTAACTGAGTATACAAGATTGGTCCATTTATTGCTTTCCAACAAATTGCTTAAATGAGTCAAGGGCCAAGATATTTCAGGAATTAAGTTCTAAGTTGAAACCAATATGTTACAGAAAAAAATGCCTTCATTTTCCTCATTAAATCATATTTTAAATAATTAAATTCTTATTTATCTTTAAAATATAGACTAGATAGTAACATGATTATATGACTACATGGAATTTTTCTTTTTAATATTTGTTTTTTCATTTTACTGTCTCTTTAGAGGCTTAAAAATCAAATAATATTTCTACTAGAATCCATGCAAAGAGAAAATAAATCACAGTATTGTGTGGTTGAAAAAGTCATGATGTATTTTTGCATAGGAAAAAAATGCATCATGTCTTTTCTGACAGCCCAATAAATCAGTCAACTTTGACCTTTAGGTCTACATAGAAATTAAATAACTTATGGAAATAACTAAAATAGGCACTTGTTTTATTATTATTGGTTTAAGTAGGACATATTACTTATTTCCATGTGATTTAGAGCAGTGTTTTGATGTTGGTAATTTAGTATGGGGTTAGGTAAGAAAATCCTACATACATGGGGGGGTATACCGTGGGTGATTAATGTAGTAGGCAATCCAAGAAGTGAATCCCCAATAAAAGGCACAACTCTATAAATAAAAAAATACAAAATAAAAGTTAGGAAAAATGTATAATATATAACCACATTTGAAACCACCCATACTTTTATACTACCTACTATAACATTTTTTCTATGAAAAATAGTATAAATGATCTATGCTAGATAGAGGGATGCTTCCTTACATAGTAAAGTGACATTTTTTGTTTTGTTTTTGTTTTATTTTATGCTTTCTTATTTATATTTAATCATTATCTATCTCTATAGGACAAAATATGGTTTTACAAAGTATGCATGCAGTATGTGACAGTCAAATCAAGGATATTACCAGATATGATAATATATGTATACATTTTTGTGTCTATTAAGCGGCATTTTAAAAGTACCTATAGTTTTAGGTTTTGGCCATAGGATGTTTGTCCTTGCCAGAGTGAGACAGAGAAAAAATGAAAAATCACCTCCCAGGGGAATGACCACACCACAATCCCTTCTCCTCCTGGGATTTTAGGCAAGCACATACATATGCCTGGCATGATTTTCAAACTGCTAGGTTTGGGATGCGAATTACAGTCCACCACTTGAGAATCTAGCACCTTAAACACCATGCTACCTGCTGGCCCCCAAAGTACCATATTTTAAAGTTTTTTTGTTTATTTCTTCTGTGATCAAAAGCAACAGAAAGAGAGAGAGAGAGGGAGAGAGAGAGAGAAAGCACCTCCACAGGGTCTTAAAGATGCAATCTACCCAAACCTATTGCCAGCTGTGGATTATGGACACACACACATGCCTGGCAAACTGAGGGAGGTCCCAGGGCTTTTAACTGAGGACATTCCTGTGTAAAATTGACTTACAGAATGTGGATTCCCACTGTTGTGCCACCATCTGGCCCCTTGAGAGTATTTTTTGACACCACCAAAGAAAGACATTTCTTCATTCCATTTTTATGGATATTGATGAATATAAGATATAGGTAAAATGTAATAACATAATCTAGAAATAATCTATTTTATTTATCAAGTGATATATATGAAGTTCTATAAATAATATTTATTTCATAGCATTTACTAATTTTTTTCACGGTTAATGTATAAAAGGAATGGATAATTAAATCATCAAATAGTAATAACATATTTTGATTGATTCAAAGTAGAAATGGCCTTGATTTAGAAATCCTAAATTATAACATTATTTCACTGATAATATATAGTTATATCTTCTATCAAAAGATAATTTATCTAAACAATTTATAAGGTTTCATAGTTTTGGAGTTCATTGTTTCATTGCAATGACATTAGAGTGGCTGACTTGTCGAAATTTTTAGAAAGCAGTTGCCAACGTTCAGGAAGTTATTTTGTAAAGATATCATTGCTTTTGAAAATAAATTTTAAATAAAAAAATAAAATTCAAATGAATTTTAGTTTGATTGAAAAATTGAAATGCAGCAGATTGTGTAATGTACATTTGTATTTCAATATTTCATAAAAATTTTCATTATTTTGATAGTTATTTGATGTGTGGTAAGTGCCATATTTGCTATTTCTTCAGAGAGCAATGACACTGGTGTCACACTGAGAACTATCATAAATATGGGATATTTTATATATATATATATGTAATTTTATATATATAATATAATTTTACATATATATAATATAATTATATATATATATATATATGCTCATTTTAACCACATCCACATGTATATTACAGAAGGGTTTATACATCATATTCTTCCTTTTAAAATGAAAGAATCTGAACTATGTATTAGGTATACAGAAAATTAAAAAGTTCTTCAGAATATCAAGCTTGTCTTATAACATAAGATCATGTGTGATAGTTACTTTTGGGTGTTACCTTGACTGGATTGAAGGATGTCTGTAAGAGTGTTGCCAGACAAGATTGATGCATGAGTCATTGGACAGAGAGAGGAAGACCTGACATCACTGTGGTCAGGCACCATTTAATTGGCTAGAAGTGTGGTTCTGTTTCCTTTTCTCTTTCACTTTATCTCTCAACCCTTCCTTCCAGAGTCCACTGTGTGTACACTCTGCCTACTCACTTTGTAACATTCCGTCTGGTCCTCCACTTGTCCTATAGCTGTGTTTGTTCCTTCCAGACTCATGAACCCTACATTGCTCAGCCAGACTCCAAGTTCTTCTACCTTTGAACTTTGGACATAGACCAGCTATTGTTGTCTGAGGATAGTTGAGATGCATTTCCCAATGGCCTCCTTCAAATTTGGATTGAAAGTACACTAGTTTCCTGCTTCAGTGATTTGGTTGTTTTTCCAGTTTGCAGATAGCTTATTGTGGGACTTCTTGGCTTTGTGATTATGTGAGGTAAATTGCTATAATAAATCTCTTCTTTTACATGTACATACTTATCTTTTTGGTTCTGTTATCTGGAGAGCCTGACCAATACAGTCATGGCCTAGAAAATCTTTCTATACAGGGTTATTGGTTGAGGGCAGCTCAAAGGCAATAGATTACCGTGGAAATTGTATTTTAAAAGTTGAATGTTTAAAATATGCTGCCATAATTTAACTAAGAAATATAGGTTTATGGTAAAAAAATGATTAAATATTTTACAAAGGATTAAATACACAAAAATTTTCAACAATAATTAAAAATACAAAACATATCAATCCCCACCTTTACCAAATTGTTCAGAGGTGTATGTCCTGCAGAAACTTTGTGAACAAATAAGGTTTCCAAAATATGTCGGATGTAATGTATACAATGGCAGAAGCAAGCTAAGCTGGAAAGAAAACAGAACATAAACATTAAATTTCCTTCTAAAATTCTGGTTTGCTGTATGCATGAGACATTTTAATTTTTTTTTTTTAGTTTACTAAAATATTGTATTTAATAGGAACTATCATTACCAAGAACCAAAACACAAATGTTTACTTTTATATTTTACTCTGTATATTTTCTATTTTTTAAAATGAAAGTAACTTTTACAAGAATCTCTTTAAATTTACTTCTGATGACACTAGAACTATTTTATAATACCAATCATAAACTATCATGCTCACACCTGTCCCAGTAGTAGGTATAAATATAATAATTGCAAATGTGTTCATATCAAAGTATCTCAAGATTGAAGCAGACAATTTACAGGTTTTAAAAATATCCAAAACCTACTTAGAATGCATTTGACATTTTATAATATTCAGAATTACTTTTTAATTGTCTGGTTGTCCTTTAGGAAGTACCGTGATTGTGAAAGTTTAAATTTCATATTCTATGCAGTCATAATGTAACCTTTTGTTTTCTTTATTTGTTTTTTTTGCTTAGCTACCATACCGTATACAATTTTGTCTGTCTGTGCTTTTAATTTCATTTGCATTCTAAGTTATCACCTCCTCTTGTTGTTTTTATATAAACACTATCTTAAAAATAAATTTTATATGTGATTGACAGAGACATATTTCCTGGCTATTCTTGAATGAATATATTTTCCATTAAGATATGCACCTATTTTATTATAGACAAAAATGTGAAACTTCAAAAACTTTGGTTCCTATTAAGAAAACCGTTATGGGTCAAGGATAATGTACTTTATCCAACATAAGTGGTGCATATAAATCAGTATATCATTTACCTTATATAAAAATAAGACATTGAATTCATTTATCAGACTGAGAGTTTATTAATGATGTCTGGTATGGGTGATAGTAACTTTAAGGAAAACAAACAATGAAATGAACACTAACTTTGTTAAGAGAGGAGAATGATTATTAACTAACTCATAAAAATGTAATTCTATACCTATTATGCGAGATACATGTTCTGTATGGTTTGTCTATCTATAAACAGACAAATTCTGAAAAACGTAAGAACAAACTATGGGGCTCAGCTGGGAAAAGAGCTTTCTAGGCAATAAGACAAGTAAAACCTGATACATAAGGTTGCCTTGTGTTTTCAGAGGATTGAAGAAGAAATGGACATCTCTCCTCATTTTTTGGTTCTTTTGTTGAACTAAACACCTGAGTAATAAAATTTTCCATTTCATAAGAAAGCAGAAAGATTAGGTTAAGTTCAGCAAACTAGCAGAGTCCTCCCAGAGAAATACTGGTTCAAGCTGTATGATACCTCTAAATTAAGATATTCATTTATTTTATACTATACCGTGGGAACATAGAAATCAGCATAGCATATGCCGTTAGAGCCTTACTCTTTGCATCTCCATCATGTTACACATCATGAGTAACTCACCAAGTTTGATTGCATTTAAAAACATTACTCTAATTTTTCTCTGAAAGCTAAGCAATGATAAATCCATAAATAGGCAGGGCCCATTTTTTTGTTGTTGCAATCACAATATTCATTTTTTTTTAAGTAAGATTTTTTTCTATTGAGCTTGTGCACTTTAAATCCATAAATAGGCAGGGCCCATTTTTTGTTGTTGCAATCACAATATTCATTTTTTTTTTAAGTAAGATTTTTTTCTATTCAGCTTGTGCAGATGCCAGAGAGCCAAAGGACGAGAGAGACAGAAAGCAAGAAAGCACTCCTAAAGGGGATGACCATGTCACAATTCCTTCTTCTCCATTCTCCTCTTGGGATTTTGGACATGCATGCATACATGTCCAGTGCTAGTTTTAAGCCTCCAAGTCTGGGACTCACAACCATGGTTGACTCCATGGGAGTCCAAAAACTTATGTATTACCCCATCTACTTGTCCTTATTTGAAAATATTTTATACTTTGTCAACTGAGGTTTGAGGTACAAGGGTTATGAAAAGAAGCACAGCTTCAGCTTTATAGCGCAGCAAGGGAAGAAGCACACCAAGTTCATGTTGAAGATGAGGGCAATGTTTAGCTAAGAGACTGATGCTTAAAAAACAAAACAAAACAAAACAAAAAACTTGATGGGAATAGAGAGCCTGCAGGAGTTATACCATTAGCCCCAACAAGGAAAGGTTTCTAAGAGGGCCAAACAACTTTGGGGTGGTGGAGTCATAAGTACAAATAGGATTTTTATAAAAACTTAGCAGAAAAATATGTTGATTCTGATATGATTGAAAGAAATTAGGAGACTTACCATTTGAATATGTGACAATTGATAATAGCATTTCTTAACCTTGAGACATAATCTTGAAAATAGGGTGCCTTAGAAGCCTTGTGATTATTTAATAATAATCACATCTACACCCCTCATTTTCAAAAGCAGTTGGTGTATATAACCTCTGAAATGATGTCATATACACTTTACATATTTGTTATTTCTGTGCAATGTGGCGCAAATATATTTATCATTGAGCTGTAATAAAACACGTTTGTGTTTAAGAATAGAAAGCCGGTTGTCAGTGAATCTATTTAATAATGTTACTGGAGGGAAAATACTCTCCCCCCCCCAATACTGTGGTACATATTACATGTTTTGTCTAAAAAAAAAAAATGAGTGCTATAATGTTCTCCTTCCAAAGTCTCCAAACCCAGGCTCTTTCTAAATGAATCTTGTATTCCTTTAACTTAAGAAAGAAAAAGAAGTTAATATTCTAAAATGCCCTGACAACTTCACCTCTTGTTTTTTGTTGTTTTTGTTTTGATTTTATAATATTTTGATTGTTTATTTTTTTAAAATTTTACATATGTATGGGGCATAGTGTGATTTGTGTGTGTGTGTACAAATACTACGTGTAATAAACAGTTCAGCATAATTAGCATAACCATCATCTTTGTCATGACTTTGGATAGGAAATATTAAAAAATTCCTTTTAAGGGACCAGCAATTGGCATAATGGCTATCTCTCTGGACTCCCATGTAGTTGACAGCAGTTCAAGACCTGGACCTGGTGCCTTAAACTCATGCCGGGCACATGTGCACGCATGTCCAAGATTCCCAGAGGAGAAGAGATTGCAGCATGGCCAACCCTCCTGGGTGATTTCTTGCTTTCTGTCTCTCTGTCTCTCTCTGTATTTCTGGCAAGCACACATGCCCTATAGCAAAAACCTCTTTAAAAATTTTCTGTTAAAAGTTATCAGAGATATACAATAAATAATTATTGTTAACCTGCTATACTATATAACACTAAAAATTCCTCTTATCTAGTTGCAATTTTATATTTATTACTCAACAACTATCTTCCTGTCCCCTTTCCTTCCTATCCTCTAGACATATTCTACAAAAAAAAAAAAAAAGAGTATGTTTTAGAGATAACCGCATTGCCGTGTTTATTACAACACTAGCTAAGACACAGAAACAAGCTAGTGCCTGTTAGCAGATGAATGGATATAGAAAATGTGATATATGTACATACTGGAATATTAGTTACCCATCAAAATGAATGCCATTCTGTCTTTTGATACCACATGAACAACCCCGGAAGATGTTATACTGACTGAGTTAACTTAGGCACAGAAAGAAATAGTGAATGTTCTCACTTAATGTGAAAACTAAACTGATTGTAGACAAAACTCATGAAGTGTAGTCACTAGAGACCTCTAGTTAAAATAGATGCAATTTGTTCAGAGTTTTTGTTTGTTTGGGATTGCTAGCCTTACATCCCAATGTATCATCTTGAATAATTATTCTTTCTCTTTAATTTGTTGTATCTGTCTTAGAGAAGATGGAATTGTTTTTACGATATACTAAAATCATGGTTACATAGTCTGCTCTGATTACAGCCCTGCTGTTTTGTTTTGTTTTTAATTTTCAAAACTTTCTGTCATAGGGAACCAGCAGTTAGCGTAATGGCTGTGTCGCTGGATTCCCATGTAGTTGACCGTGGTTCGCGTCCCAGACCCGGTGGCTTAAAACTCACGCTGGGCGCGTGTGCGTGCATGCCCAAGATCCCGAGAGGAGAATGGAGGAGAAGGGATTGTGGCGTGACCATCCCCCCTGGGGGGTGATTTCTCGCTTTCTGTCTCTATGTCTCTCTCTGTCTGGCGAGCGCACACGCCCTGTAGTGAAAATCTCTCCAAAAAAGAAAAAAAAATTTTCTGTCATACTTCAAATTACTATTTAATTTGGGATATTGACTTCCTAATGGTAATTTGCAGAACTTTTTTTTTTTCCTGTTCATTAGTTACGTCATTATTTCTCCTATGCAACATTTCCAAAGTTTTTAGAAAAGTGTCTTGAACAGAATGCAAATCCTCACAACATTATACTATTGTTTGTTTTGATGATGTTTCTGAATCCTGATTTCTTTTATGAACTGATCATTATTAACTTACTTCTGCCTTAAAGTGTACTTCATAGTTTCTTGTTTATAAATTTGCAATCTGTTATATATAGGCTATTTATGATTTCCTAAAATATGTTTTCTTAATGTCAAATCTTCAGTGGTGTTTACAGTAATAAATAATATTACAAGTAATATGTATTATCATGGTATTTGCTTACTTGTTTTTTCTCCCTTATCCCCTACGTACTATACATGCCACTTACTGTACCACAGGGTGGCGTAATCTTCTAGAGCTTTCTTTTTCATCATATATATATGGAATCCTCAAATAAAAAAGGAGGTATATTAGCAGAGGTCCTGTGTATTCAGCCAAAAATACCTGAAAATAAAAAGGTGTTTAGATTAAAGAAAAAATTGTGTACATTTGTTGAAGGTTTATTTATGACCATGTGACCATGAGCACTAGCCTATTGCACAAACTGGTGAAATGGACAGGTGAATAGCTATTTTGTGAAAGAATGAGAACAAGTGGTAATGTACGTAAGTATTCTTTAGAGGAGCCAGCAAGAGTTAAAAATAATCGATGAAAAGCTAATTTAAAATAAACAGAAATGTTGGGACCAGCAGTTGGCATAATGGCTATGTCACTGGACTCCCATGTAGTTGACCGTGGTTCAAGTCCCGGACCCGGCAACTTAAACTCACACCAGGTGCGTGTGCATGCGTGCCCAAGATCCCGAGAGAAGGGAGGTGAAGGGATTGCAGTGTGGCCATCACCCCTGGGGGGTGATTTTTCTGTCTCTGTCTCTGTCTCCTCTCTTTCTGATGAGTGCATGCACCCTGTAGCAAAAATCTCTCCAAAATAATAATAATAATAATAAATAAATAAACAAAAATGTTGAATCTATATAACATAGTTTTTTAGAAATAGGGCAAGGACATTTTTATTTGATTAAATAGACTATTACAAATATGTGTGTGTGTGAGTGTTTCCCTAGCATGTGCGTTTCCCTAACCCAATAAACACTTTATCTTTTATATAGTAATTGTTCCTGTCAATGAATGGAATGGGTGAGAGTACCTATTTTTTTCTAACTTTTTCCTTTTTTTTTTTTCCCCCTTTCTTTATTTCCCCCACAGTCTAGTCATCTTAAACTCAATTGATTTGGTCCTGATTCACATTGAAATAATTCAGCCCTCTCTACTGGAAATTTTATAGTTTAATTCTAATGAACCTAGTTGTATAATTAAAAGAACAGACTTCTAAATGCTAAAGTATAAGGTAACCCTATGTACAGTGAGAAATATTCCTTTAGTGAGAGACCCCAGCAAGAATTTGGAGAGACACAATTGCAGAAAAATTAATTGGCTGACTGGTTTTCTGATTCTGGTTACTATTACTTTTGTTTTGATCCTCACATCAGGTAAAAGCTACTCTAGATATTTGAAGGTAGAGTACAATAATTATCTCTGAGTATTTAAAGCAAAAATATTTATACATAACAATGATAAATTTGACTGTCATTAACTACTTTGCTTTATCTTCACCTGTTGTTATCTTCTGAAGAAAATTCAAATTTGCATATGTTTTGCTCAAATATAGTTTGTGAACATTGATTATGAATCATGTTCACATCTCTGGTGAGAATCCCATTTTCCTGTATAGTTCAAGTATATAAAATTGAGTTGTCAGGAGTCGTGACTCTTTGCCATAGAAAAATATGTCATGACTTTTCCATCAGTCTAATATATAATATGACTACAGATACATACACATAGATGTAATTATGCATTACATATTATGTATCAAATTGATGTATTTATAAACATTATGTATTGGTTTGTGCATACCTATAATTACACAGATATAAATAGCTACTTAAATAGGTTTCCGCAGGTATAATTTTGACTTTTGATAATATTTACTATCTGAGGAGCCAGTATAGACTTGTAGGTGTAAGGGTAGAAACAAAGAAATACCTGATCAGTTCACTATAAAAGCAATTTCATTTGAGGACTGTATTAACTTGTAGTTTACAATATGCCTGATTATTCCCATTAAATAATGTTTACCACTTTTGAATGTCTTCTGATAGGATCTAGTCAAAGTATGTGTAATATGAGGCCAACAAGTGGCGTAGTGGTCAAGGCACTGGACTCCCACAGGGTCAACCACTATTCCAATCCCAGACCAGGTGGCTTGAAACTAACACTGGGCACCTGAACGTGGTGCCCAAAGTTCTCAGGAGAAAATAAAGAGAAAGGAATTTTGGCGTGGCTATCCTCCTGGGAGGTGATTTCTTATTTTCTGACTTTCTTTCTAGTGAGAGCACATGCCCTATAGCAAAAATCTAAAAAGAAAAAAAAATGTATAATAATGAGGAAGGTGTTGTTTTAATAGATCAAAAGTTTTAAAAATATCTCAACACTGTCTGATATAATCAAGCCTCACAGAGCATTGCATTTTACCACTGTGCTATTCTCTGTCCCCCGTAATCCAAAATTTTAATAGAAACTGTATATTCAAAACAAACAGATATCTTATTTTGAAGATATACACTATATTTATGTTTTCTTTTTCTAAAACAAGAACCCTCTGGTTTGGGGCCAGTAGGTGTCATGGAAGTTAAGGCCCTGGATCCCATATGGACGATTTAATAATCCAGGATACAGTGGTACACAGCCCCTCCCCCCCACCTCTCCCAGGGTGGAGTGATTTCTCTTTCTCTGTTGAGCTCACACATCCTGAAGCAAAAGACTATAAAAATGTAAAAGTTCTCTGCTTTAATCTGCTTTAAGGGATTTAACTTCTAATGCGTTAAAGTTCATTAATTTGACTAGCAAGCAATTGAGAATCTTAAAAACTTCATGGAACTTTCAACTTCCTATAGGTCTAAACTGAAAAAGGAAGAAGGTAATATCTGTTTCAAAGTACCTAAGCCATATCATGAGACTGCAACTATGAACTAGAACCTATGCAGCTGGACAGTGCTTCACATATTTAATTCTATCTTGGAAAAAAAATCTTTGAAGTGTTACCACTGTTAGAGTGTCCATAAATTTACATTTTTGTTTTCAGAATTGTAATTGGCAGCACAAAACAAATTAGGTATTTCAGAATTACTGAAAATGAATGAAAATAAAACACTTGCAGGGAACCAGCAGTTAGCGTAATGGTTATGTCACTGGATTCCCATGTAGTCGACCGTGGTTCACGTCCCGGACCCGGTGGCTTAAAACTCATACCGGGCGCGTGTGCGTGCGTGCCCAAGATCCCAAGAGGAGAATGAAGAAGAAGGGATTGCAGCGTGACCATGCCCCCCTGGGGGGTGATTTCTCGCTTTCTGTCTCTACGTCTCTCTCTGTCT